GTTAGTGTACCCGGCAACTGGCCTCAGCAGCTCCCTCTTGGCTCCTGCCTCCAGGTGTCACCCCACAGTCATTTCTGAGTCCCATTGCTCAGTACAGACAGCCCTCTTGGGCAGGGTTCCATCAAGATGGCTCCAGCCAGATTACATTCTGAGGCAGCTCCTTGATTCACAGGAAATACATTCTTGTTGCAGCATACACTGCAGATGTGGGCTGCCATGCCATTGGCCTCTCACCCTGCCATCAAAGGCTGCCCCAGGCAGCCTGCAGCCAAGAAAGAGGCTCTTTTCACTTGGGACCCCAAACACCACACATCAGGCTGCCCCGAGGACTGACTCTTTCGCAGTGCTCTTCCGGGTACGCCAAGATGGGCCTTGTAAGTTGCTGTAACTCAGCGAGCATCCCTGCAGAGCATGAGACAGTGAACTCTCCTTGCTGCGCCTCCAATTTGCGTACGTGGTTCTTTTGGAACACATACCATCCTTCACTTTGCATGAGGGAGGAGGCAACTCCCTCCCCTTTCCTCCCCAGCAAGGAGAAGGGAAAATCAAATGCTGGCTCTCCTCAGTCCTGTAACTTCTACAGGTTCCAAGCATCTGCCTCTACAGGCTAAAATGAGGTGCTGGGGTGAATGTGGAAAGGCCATTTAAGCCACCTTTCAGCAAACCCTGGAAGGATGTTCTGGCAGCTTCCTTGCAGACTTGGTGCCACTTACTTCCTATTGGCCTTAGCTCTGGGCTTTAGCTGAACGTCCAAGACAGCAGGAGAAGGCAAGAAATCACATCATTCTAAATATCCTTTGTATACGATGGAACTGAGAGGGGGCAGTGTTAAAGAGTGATAAAGAGAACCTGCAGCCTTCCTTTGTTCTCAAAACCCAACCACCTCTCACTTGCTCCCAGACCTTGGTGAGACTCCACCTGAATTTGATCTTTGAGTCCTAAATATCATCTCATAGGCAGCATACAATATGAAGATGACCAATAAGACTGAGAAGTTGAAGAGCTGCATACTTCTCTATACTGTTGTAGAGCACTTTAACATCACATTGCATTCAAACTTTTCTCCGTTGATGACTTTTTATTTACCTGCTTTGCCATGTTTCTCAAATAGTTTGTATTTGTTATGGATATACCTAAAACATTTTGAATCCATCCCTAAGGCAAACAAAGTCACAGCAATGGCCAGGGGGAAATGAAGATTGGCATGTCATGCACACACATCCAGATGGTCCCCACCTCGGGACTGCTCAGTGAGATCCTTTCCAGTTGATGTTGCTGGGGACCATGGTATCTCAGGTCCTCAAATAGATTAAGCTGGCATATGTTTCTGGACCTTTGGTTATTCCCAGTCTTTGGAATTTGTGAGTTCTTTGAGGACCAGAACTTTCACCTTTTTCCTCTCCATAACCCCAGCAAATAGAACACCACTGTCTGGTACACAGTAGGACCTCAGTAAATATTGTATGGATAGGTGGATGGGTGGATCAACAAGGGGTCACTTCTTTCCACTGATGGTGACAAAGTGAGCCCCTTTCCTGTCCCTACCTCAGTTCTTACGTGCCTTTTAGTTAATGAGCAGGAAGTTGAAATTCACCATCTATTCTTAGCCACATAGACACCATCCATTCCATCCAATACCTGCCTTGACTGTGCTTTCCTGGGAGCTAGGGTGCAGAGGCCAGTGCCCCAACCTCTAGAGGATGGTCCTTTCATTTAATTCCTTCCTATTATATCTGTGTTTGATATTAAGCATCTCACCTCTCCCTCATCCACTTTGGATGAATGTGTGGTGAATTGGATCAGGATGATATCTGCCTGCCACCTGTGAAGTTGTAAGGCTAGAATGATGATTCTTGCTTTACTGTTCTGTGCCTCAGTTGCCTCATCTGTAAAATGGGAGTAGCGGGGGTAACAACCTTATAAGACTGTTTGAGATTAGAGAGAATATATATATGAAGAATTTTGACTAGTAACTAGCATCTAGTAAGTGCTCAATAAAAATGACAATTATTAGTTATTATTAGTACTTTTTAACTACTCTCAAAAGTTAGCGCTGGGCATGAGATTTACAGATATCTAAGGAATTTATTAAAGCACAGATTTCTGGACCCCCTTTTCAAATTCTGATTCAGTAGATCTGCAGTAGGGCTTAGAAATATGTACGTTTAATAACCACTCCAGCTGATTCTGCTACAAGTCCTCAAGAAATCACACTGATATAAGACCTAGAGAACCGTACTTGGCATCGTCAGAATGAGACAGAAATAAAAAGCCTCCAGTGATAGACTGAGAGCAATTCTGGGAGGTGTGGAATTTTTGTTGCTTTGTGAGTAAAAACTAATATGCATTTATTAAATGTGTAAGTACAAACTAACCCTAATCATAGTTGAAATCTTTGAAAGTAGTGTTAGTAATATTCCTTGATCAAGAAAAAGGCTATATGTAAAAATAGATTTTAAAAAAGTTTCTTCTGTATAGAACTATGTTCAATATCTTGTAATAACCTTTAATGAAAAAGAATATAAAAACGAATATGAAACATATATATATGCATGACTGGAACAATGTGTTGTACACCAGAAATTGACACATTGTAACTGACTGTACTGCAATTAAAAAAAACTATAAAAAAAATTTAAAACAGAGAAAAAAAAAGAAAGAAAAAGGCAAAACTTTTTTGTGCTGAAATCAGGCATTATAAAAGCATTATATATTTTTTTCATTTTATTGAGCTATAGTCAGTTTACAATGTGTCAGTTTCTGGTGTACAGCAGTTTTTCAGTCATACATGAATATACATATATTCATTTTCATATTCTTTTTCACTGTAAGCTACTACAAAATACTGAATATATTTCCCTGTGCTGTACACACAGTACAAACTTGTTTATCTATTCTATATATACCTGTCAGTATCTACAAATCTTGAACTACCAGTCTGTCCCTTCCCACCCCTCTCCCCCCTGGCAACCACAAGTCTGTATTCTATGTCTGTGAGTCTGTTTCTATTTTATATTTAAGTTCATTTGTCTTCTTTCTTCTTTTTTTATTTTAGATTCTGCATATGAGTGATATTATATGGTATTTTTCTTTCTCTTTTTGGCTTATTTCACTTAGAATGACATTCTCCAGGGACATCCATGTTGCTGTAAATGGCATTATATTGTCTTTTTATGGCTGAATAGTATTCCATTGTATAAATATACCACCACTTCTTTATCTAGTCATCTGTTGATGGACATTTAGGCTGTTTCCATGTCTTGGCTATTGTAAGTAGTGCTGCTATGAACATAGGGGTGCAGGTGTCTTTTTGAAGTAGGATTCCTTCTGGATATATGCCCAGGAGTGGGATTCTTGGGTCAGATGGTAAGTCTATTTTTAGTCTTTTGAGAAATCTCCTTACTATTTTCCACAGTAGCTGCACCAAACTTCATTCCCACCAACAGTATAGGAGGGTTCTATAAAGGCATTATAAATGATATTACTGTCAACTTGCAAGGCCTCAAATTAAAATTGCTTTTTTTTTAAAGAGCATTCCAGAGTTTTAAAGATCTTTTTATTCATGTAGGTTTTTTACTTTATTTGATTATTACTATTGTGACATATCAAGTGATGACTATGTCTAATGTTTAAGTGTTAAGTATTTTAAATCTGGTTTTTTAATTATAGTTCCTTACTTTGGGGTTTTTTTCTTTCTTTTTTTTTTACCACATATGTATAGTATTCCATTTATCTCTATAGACTAGTCTGGGAACCTACACGATATATATAACATTATTTCTATGGAAAAATCTATTCCCTAGTTCCAAACTTCAGAATTCACAATCTTCAGAGATAGAAACCATTCAGAGGATGGAGACTGCCCATGTGTATTCTACAGGGATTTGGGCAAACTTTTGTAAACCAGCTACATATTGCTAGTTCCTAAATGTTAAAATAACGTTTTAAACAGAGCAGTATTTTACTAGCCTACTTATACTATTTATTACTTTCTTAATGCCACCATTTGAAGATAGTCCCTGCTCGCTCTTCACAGCACTATCCTCAGGCCTTCCTTATTTATGTCTGTCTGTTTGCCTATCAGCATTAGGAATTTTTATGTATGATGTGGCCCAAATATTTACAAATCGTAAAGCTTTATCTTGCATCAGTATAAACACGTCTAATTATAATCTGAAGAATGTTTATGGTATTTGAACTCTCCACTAGCGCTAGGAAAAAAAGAACAAAACCAAAACCAACCCCCCAAAATCCCCACCTATTTTAGAGAAGTTAGGACCTAGAAGTGGCAAGCTAGCCAAGATCATTTTAAACTCTTCACTTTTCAAAGAAGACTGTTGAATGAGACGTTTCATCTGAGGTAGAAACTAATATTTTAATTAGATTGCTACACTACAGAGGTTTTTCTCCAAGGAACTAATTTTCTTCACAAAGTTTAAATTTTGGATCATGTAGATTTATGGTGTTTTTTAAACATATTTAGATTCTTTTCAGTGTCTTCTCATACTCGTGGATTTGCGAATTCAAAAGGAAGAAAGTTAATATCCTTGACCTCTTGCTGAAGGATGCCAGCACTGATACTGTTAATGAACAGCCCTAGTAAAACAAGTATAAACCTTTTGTGAGAACATTCCTTCCTAGAAGGAGTTGGGTTTGCCCTTTCCCAAGATTTAGATTTCTGTGAAAATTCTTTCGGACGCGTCTTGGCCAGAAAGCATTCTTTCATTTTACTCTGTATTCATCTCATTAAATGTTACTTCTATCAGAGGGAAAAAATGCTGATTGCTGAGATACTGATGATTTTTTAAAAGATATGCATAGAACTCATATCCTGACAAATTTCATTGAATGAATAAGAGATTATTAACAAGAAGATCCCACTAAAATCGTCAGCCTGTCTTTTTCAGAGGAAAACATTGCTTAGTGAAATAATGAATATGAAGCTCTGAATTTTAGCCAAGAATTGTGAATGTTGATCGGATTTTCTCCTTTGCCTCTAGCTGTATGACAAAATTAACACCAAGTCTTCGCCGCAAATCAGGAATCCTCCGAGTGATGCAGTACAGAGAGCCAAAGAGGTAAGTGATATATTTTGTAAATGTCGTATTTGCTGCCTTTAATGAAAACATTTTCTGCTGCACAGTAACAGGCAGTTTCCTTGCAGTCACACTTGGACCATTATATTCAAATTTACTATTTCTAAGCTTCTCACTGAGCATTTGCATACAGAAAAGGGGAAAAGAAAAGTGTCAGCCGCGGCATTACCTAGATTTCTAGTTCTGGTTCTGCTGTGTAAACTTGAACACGTTAACATATTGATTTTACTTCTCCTTTTTTTTTTAAGAAAAAGTTATTTTACCGAACTTGGTGAAAATAGACGTGCTATGAAAATTTGAGTTGCTTTTTTAAGGTGGTAATGTTTGGAAGGTATCTAAATATTTATAGTAATCAAGTTCAGAGAGAAGTCATTTTTATAAATTGCTAGTTACTATACATCTTCCACAGACTCGTAACTTCTTTTATTATAGAAACATGACATTGCAGAAAGTTTGGAAAATAAAAAGTCATCTATAATCCCATCACCTTAACACAATCATTTTCACTTTTTCATGTCCTTTTCTAATCGCTAGCTACTTACATATAAATTTTATGTAGGTATGATCAAAATGGTTCTTTCTTTTAACCTAACATAATTTAATAAGCATTTTTCCATGTTTTTACTTAGTCTTCATAAATAAGTTCCAATGATAGCATAATTTTTCTTCACTGTTACTAAATTATAATGAATTAGCAATGCCTTCAGTATTAGACACCTAGTAGTTTTTTTCTTTTCTTTTTACTTTTTGATGTAACAAAAGTGTTTATACAAATAAACATTTCCCTCTGGGAAAAAAATGTCTTATAAAGTGAAATTACTAAATGAAAGAGTATGAAAGACATAACTCCTTCCCTACCAGACTTTAAACACAAGACCTATACTGGAAAATATTATACATTCACTGAGAAGCAAGCCTGAGGTTGTGGAGGCCTGCCCACGTGGCCAGGGCACCAGCCAAGAGAGGTTCTCTCTGAATGAGGAAACCACACCCCAGTGTTTAAAATCATAGGCTATGAGACCACCAGGGGACCAGAGAGAGTATATTATTTCATCCTTTGTTTCACTGGTAGAGAAACTCAAAGCAAAAAATACACCAAAGGAGAATTGGCCTGTCAGCTTTAAACAATATGAATTAACAGCATAATCAGCACTTTTTAAGGGTACATTTAGATAAGTAAGAAACCCTATAGTTTTTGTTTGTTTGTTCTTTTGAGGAGGTGAGATCTAAGCCTTAGGCTAAGTGACCTCAATACATCCCTTCCTGCCCCAGTATTAAGATTCTTGAAGACGAGGCAAGAGATTCCTACTGGGTACATTACTTGTGTGCCCCTGATATCTAGTCTCGCCGAAGCAATCCTCAATTGGCTCGTCTTTTAGAATTGAGTGCAATGTGCATGACCACACTGAGTCCAGCTATATACAGTTAGAACTGCAGTAGTATGTTTACTCTGAAAAGGAACAGAGACCTTCCCCTGGGCTCATGTCACATAATCAAATTTTAAATGGGTAAACGCCATCCTGGTGGTAAGGGATAACTTTTGAAGAACAATTTCATTTGAAAATAACCATTTTAACCTGTACAGAGAAAATGTTAACAACTAATTAGTGAAGAAAATGTGAGTAGAAAGAGAAAAGGTTTTGATTGGGGTTTTTTTCCTAATTTTTTTCCCTAATTATTCTCTTGGGTTCCCTGGCAATTAATCCTAGGAACCACTGGCGGAGATGTGGTTTTCCCTTTGTGAGGAGATAAGTGTGGAGAATAACATTGATTCTGCCAGGCTGCAAGGAAAATTACTTAAGTGTTTCTCTTCTTTAAATTGTTTTTATTTGAGCCTTTGTCATTTTAATCTTTATGAAAGGAATTGACAGTTTTGTTAACATAAGAAAAAGCTGTTATTAACTTTTATTACAGATTCATCTCGATGGTGAGTTTGGGAAAACATTTGCCTAAGTATTTTCCTATTAAGTTAATTAAGCTACTTATACCTGTAATAAATATGTATTACAGACTTGTCATTTTGTTTTGTATTTTTCGATAATCTTTTGGGTCATAGTTGGGTAATGAAGACTGAGACTGTTACAGCAATTTGTTTTTTTTTTATTACCACCAATGTAGTTCTTTTATATATTAATAACCTTTGAATAAAATGATGCATTTTGTTCCAAAATGATTGTTTTGCCTGCCATAAAAATCCATTCATAATTTTGAAGTTAAAAGAATTCTCTATTTTCTAAAGCTAGCATCTTGTTTATACTATTACATATCTTGCTTACTTTTTAGGTATTGGAAGAAATTTCATGTTACCCTGAGAATAACGATGCAAAGGAACTAAAGCGTATTTTAACACAACCTCATTTCATGGTAAGTAGCAATTAAACTTCCACAGAAATAAAACCTCACTTTCAGAAGAAGATTTTACTAATCCTTATGAAATACAACCATCTTCATCAAACATACTTTTAGCCATGTAATATCAGACTGTTAAGATTACAATACTGGGTAATACCAGATACACTAAGTTTTTGTTGTTTGTGTCACTTCGTGTCACAATTGTAAAGATGCTGTTTGCAAAGTGGTCTTCAAGGACTGTGTAGTCATCAGACAAGGGATTTGCTTCCTGATAGGACAGTTCTTTAGTCAATGGAACTGTTTATGTTACTTAAACCACAGAGAGCTCAAATTGGAGAAAATTTTCACTAATGATTTTCTGAACCTAGGTGATATTGGAAGAATTACATCTCCTTTCAATGCAGACCTCTTACACTCTCTTCACTCATTTCTACCATATGGAAAATGGGGGTACCACCTGTATTTAACCGATTAGTATAAAGCTAGATGGTTAAACAGAACTCAAAATAGATGAGATCCCTTTCTGTAGAAGAAGGTCCATAGTTCTCTACTCAACTGCAGTTCAAAAGCATGATTACAGATGGAAATTCATGTCAAATACAACATTTTAAAATTGTTACCCACATCAGTACACGTGGAACATACGTGGAAAATGGAAAATTCAGGTGACTGCCCTTTGGGAGAAAATCTGATGCAAAGCTATATTCGTATTACTACTCTTGAGGTAATGATTTTTAAGTAACAGTAGCAGTATAATAGGTGTATCGTATCAGTTACCTGTGAGTTTTCACATACATGGTATTTTATGGTGCAGTGTTTTTAAAATTTTAACCCAGTCGTTGAAGTATTATTTTTTTTCTCAAAGTGCCTACCTAGAAAGAAGCGATTAGCCATACTCACCCTAACTCTCCCACCCAAGCACTAAAGGCTGAACTCAAGTGTAATCCTTGAGAGTATTTAACTTGATTCCACATGACAGCAGCATTCTCCAGTGAGTTACAGTAGGAATCGGGTTCTGGCCTGTGGGTGAGTGCATTTGTACAACTTAGGGGTATCGACACAGGACTCGTCTCAAAGCCCAGCTGTGCTGTCCAGATGTCTCCTAACGCCTCTAAAATCCACACTTCTTTAACTCTTTCTGCACTTATTTATAGTCACCGGCATATCATTCTAATACTTGCTGGCCTGCCGGAGCAGGTCCCTTCACCAGTGAATGGGCACAGCTCGGCTCGGCTTTGTTGTTCTTACTGAACTTCTGCTCTCATTTAATCGTTGTTATTATTCCTGTTTCACAGACCAGGAAAATGAAGAAACTCCATGTCTTAGTAGTATCCTCAAGTTTGAGAAATCACAAGTACCCGGAGTTAATTACCTTTAATACTATCTTGTTCCCTGGTTGTTTCATATGTGTAGGCCACGTTTCCCCAGATTACAATTAAGTCCCCTGTAGACATCATGTCTTATATAGTGTAAACGTGGTTAAAGCTGTGGATTCAGATGGACCTGGGATTCAACTCCAGCCTTGCTGCCCTAGCTCTGTGATTCTGATTCTCTTAGCCAACCTCATGGAGTTGAAATAAGAATTAAGTAGATGACGCATCTACCGTGCTCAGCACAGTGCCTGATACACGCTTGTTGCCTAATAAATGTTAGCCAATGAATATTATCAGTTATTCCAGAGGGTCCGTCATGTGTAGGACACATAGTAAATTCTCAGCAAAACATTGAATAGATTAGGAACTTGCCCATTTGAAGATAGGTAAGCCTCACCTCAACGGACTATTCTGTGCGGTTTTCTGTAGATAGAAACCTGTATATTTTGGACAGACATGCCTGTCTATAAATTGATAAGTAACCGTAGATCAATTCCAAGAAGGATGTTGGACCTTTTAAGACCAATCGGTCTTTCAGATTGGAAGTAAGCTGCATAAAGAAATTAACACATACCCAAATAAAATCCTTTTTTAAGGTTAAGATTCTTTTCAAAACCATTAAAGCTCAGATCACTGCATGTCTCACAACTTACCTACCTTCAAAGCCTTGGTTTATTTTGCTTTTCCAACATCAGAGGGAAATTGATGTGTGCATTGCTATTAGTAAACATTTTCAGAAATAATAAATAGTTCTTATTATTTATGAACACCCAGCTAGGTACTTAAAAGACATTTTCATACATTCACCAAATATGTAAATGCTTACTTTGTGCCAGGCACTGTGCTGGGCACTAAGGATAATGGTGAATAGGACAAACAAGGTCCCTGCCCTCATGGAACTTCCATTCTAGAAGGGGCATGGGTAGGTGAGCTAGAGACAATGAGCAAGTAAACAAAACAAGGTAACTTCATATAGTAATAATAACTATTAAAAAAAAAAAAAGACGGGAAGAGCGTATGTAGCTCAGTGGTAGAGCGCGTGCTTAGCATGCATGAGGTCCTGGGTTCAATCCCCAGTATTTCCATTAAAAAAAAAAGATAATGCGGCAGGGATGATAGGAAAGTGGGAGCTACTTTAGATAGTCAGGAAAGGTCCTCTGAGGAATTAATATGTGGGCTGAATTGTTATGTGAAAGAACCAGCCTACTGAATGTCCAAGCATGGGGAAGGGCAAATGCAAAGGCCCAGAGGCAGGAAGGAGTTTTGTAGGGTCAGAGTACAGAAGAAAGGCCACCATGGCTGGGATACAGTAAACAAGGGAGAGAGCAGTACAAGAATTGCTGGGAGACAGTGGTAGAGGCCAGACCACGTAGGGCCTTCCACAGTATGGAGTCTGATTTTCTCCTGGATGACACTGAGCGATTACAAGCAAGAAAGTATTATTAGAACTGTGCTTTAGAGATTCCTGGGGCTGTTGTGTAGGGAATGGACTATAGTGGGAGTAAGAGTGAAAAGAGGGGGACCAATTAGGAGGCTGTTGCAAGGTGGTAGAGGCTTGGGGAAGGACAGGGCTGGTGGAGAATGAGCAGGCTGGGGTTCTGCATTGGAGATGGTTGGACATGACAGGACCTGCTGGTGGTTGGGATGTGAGGTGATGTGGTTAACTCCATCTTACAGTTCAGAGAGAAAACTACACCCAAGAAAGGCAAAGAGGCTTGCTTGAGGTCACTGACCTACTAAGTGGCCTCACTGAGATTTAAAACCCAGATCTTGCCGGCTCCAAAGCCCATGCTCTTAAAAGTGGGTTGACTTGTAATGAGGATTGATTTTCCCATAAACTTAACTTGAACTCATTAGTTATTCCCAAATAAACATATGTTTGGATAATGTTCCACGTGGGAAATATTCCGAGCTATATATACTATGTTAGATAAACTTAAATGCTGGAGCTTTCTATCTTACAAGCATTTTAAGATCATGGTTTTAAAATCTTGGTATTTTAAAAAAACAATTATTAATTGTTAAAGGGAAATATTGTAATGCTTATATTTTTATTATACCAAGATTTAGAAGTTATTATTAGCATATTTATAACTTCACACTTATTTGTTCAATTATCTGGC